AAGTTATTCTCTTGCTTCAGCCTCCAGAGTACAGGCATGTGCCACCATACTAAGCTAATTTTTTTTTTTTTTTTTTTTAGACGGAGTTTTGCTCGTTACCCAGGCTGGAGTACAATGGCGCGATCTCGGCTCACCGCAACCTCAGCCTCCCAGGTTCAGGGAATTCTCCTGCCTCAGCCTCCTGAGTAGCTGGGATTACAGGCACGCGCCACCATGCCCAGCTAATTTTTTGTATTTTTAGTAGAGATGGGGTTTCACCATGTTGACCAGGATGGTCTCGATCTCTTGACCTCGTGATCCACCCGCCTCGGCCTCCCAAAGTGCTGGGATTACAGGCTTGAGCCACTGCACCCGGCCACATTGAGCTAATTTTTGTATTTTTGGAACCCAGCCTGAGCAACATAATAGGACCCTGTCTCTCCAAAAAATAATTTTTTTTTTTGAGATGGAGTCTCACTCTATCACCCAGGTTGGAGTGCAGTGGCATGATCTTGGCTTACTGCAGCCCCTGCCTCCGTGATCCAATGATTCTTCTGCCTCAGCCTCCCAAGTAGCTAAGACTGCAAATAAGCACCACCATACCTTGCTAATTTTTTCTGTATTTTTAGTAGAGATGGAGTTTTACCATATTGCCCACACTGTCCACTAAAATTTTTTTTTAATTATTTGGGCATGGTGGTGAGCCACCATACCCAGCCTATGCCTTTTTTTTTTTTTTTTTTGCAGTTTCACTCTTGTCACCCAGGCTGGATGAGGTGGCACAATCTCGGCTCACTGCAAACTCTGCCTCCTGGGTTCAAGCTATTCTCCTGTTTCAGCCTCCCGAGTAGCTGGGACTACAGGCACACACCATCATGCCCAGCTAATTCTTATATTTTTAGTAGAGACCGTTTTGGCCAGGCTGGTATCCTTAGCCTCCCAAAGTGCTGGGATTACAGGCACTAGCCACTGCACTCGGCCATTTAACATTTGTTTTTTAGCTGCTCCTTGCAGAGTAGGGCTAATTCCTAGGCATTGTGCTCCAAATCAGCAATGCCTTTTTAAATGGCTGCATGCATCCCATGGTAGTAATATATCATCATTTATTTACTTGCTGTTCTATTTGAAGACAGTTAAGTTGCTGCCACATTACAAACTCTTTATGCTATAAAGAACATCATCCTTCAACACATGCCTTTGAATACTTGGGCAAACATTTGCATAGGAGAAGTTCCCAGGACTGAAACGACTGCAACAAAGGACACACATAGGTCTTTTACATTTTGATACATCTTCCCAAATCGTATTCTCAAAGATTCTGCCCATTTATACTCCCATTGTGCAGGACAGTTCCTCTCTCTCTAAACCCTGGCCAATACTGGGCATTTTCCTTTACTCAGGTCAGTTTTGAAATGGTCTCTTGTATTACTCTGCATTTTTTAAAATTTTGTTTTTTGCTGGGCGTGGTGGTTTACACCTGTAATCCTAATCCTAGCACTTTGCAAGGCTGAGGCGGGCAGATCACTTGAGGTCAGGAGTTTGAGACCAGCCTTGTCAACATGATGAAACTCTGTCTCTACTAAAAATACAAAAATTAGCTGGGCATGGTGGTATGTGAATGTAATCCCAACTACTTGGGAGGCTGAGACACAAGAAACCCTTGAATCCAGGAGGTGGAGGTTGCAGTGAGCTGAGGTGCACCACTGCATTCCAGCCTAGTTAACTGAGTGATATTCCGTCAAAAAAAAAAAAAAAAGAAAAAATTTTGTTTTTGAGACAGCGTGTGTTGCCCAGACTGAGTGCAATGGCACAATCAGTGATCACTGCAGTTTCAACCTCCTAGGCTCAAGTGATTCTCCCTCCTCCTCAGGCTCCTGAGTAGCTGGGACTACAGGCATGCGCCACCACACCCAGCTAATTTTTGTATTTATCACAGAGATGGTAGGCAGAGGGGTGGTCTCACTATGCTGCTCAGGCTGGTCTGAAACTCCTGGGCTCAAGTGATCTGCCCATCTCAGCCTCCCAAAGTGCTGAGAGTTTAGGCATGAGCCACATTGCCCAGTTAAAAAAAAAAAACAAACCACACACACAAAAAACTTCTGAATGGATATTAGCATTAGGATTATGGTATTATTTTATAAAATGAATTTGAATTGCATAGTTTTCTATCTTTATGTTCTGGAAACTTCAATATGGGAATTTTATGTTCCTTAAGTTTTTATTAAGAACTTATTCATAAAACTTCCTAAGCATGGAGACCTTATGAAAGGTAGTTATTTCACAGAATTCTCAATTTCTTCTTTGTCTACTGATCAGTTAACCCATTTATGCTGGGGGCTGCAATTTTTTGTGTGTGAAAAATCAGACCTTGGCAATGACCTTGAGCAGCAGGATATAAATAATGCCCGCAAGCTTAGCATTCCAATAATGGAATATTAGGTGTAAATGGCTTATAGTATACTACTTTTTTTGTTTGTTTTTTGAGACAGAATCTCGCTCTGTCGCCCAGGCTGGAGTGCAGTGGCGCAATCTCAGCTCGCTACAACCTCTGCCTCCCAGGTTCAAGTGATTCTCGTGCCTCAGCCTCCCAAGTAGCTGGGATTACAGGCCCCCACCACCATGCCAGGCTAATTTTTGTATGTTTAGTAGAGACAGGTTTCACCATGTCGGCCAGGCTGGTCTCAAACTCCTGACCTCAGGTGATCACCCACCTCAGCCTCTCAAAGTGCTGGCATTACAGGCATAAGCCACTGCGCCCAGCCCCGAGATGTACTACCTCTTAAATCAATTTCTAAAAATAATCACTGAGGCTGGGCACAGAGGCTCATGCTTGTAGTCCCAGCTAAACAGGAGGTTAGGGTGAGAGGATTGCTTGAGCCCAGGAGATGGAAGCTATAGTAAGCAATGATTACACACTCTAGCCTGGGCAACAGAACAAGATCCTGTCTCAGAAAAAAACCAAAAGACACCCATTTCACAGAGATTTTAACATTTAACAGCCTAAAATGAGCATATACTCATGATTGCAACTGGCTTTTGTTGTCATTAGATTTGCTAGTCTTGTCTATCTTCTTGTTCATTGCTCCTTTAAATAACTAGTTTCTGCATTTATTTTGCCTGTGACTATCTGTTCTCTAATAAATTTATTCTGACATAACTTTTCATTAATATCTTCCTCTGAGTTTCCTTACAGTTGGCTCCTGTTCGGGGTATTTTTTTTTTTGAAACTGAATATTTTGTTTTAAAAATTTCTTCCCATTTTAAATAACAAAAGCATTTCGTACTATGAATTTAGCTTAGAGTGTTGCTTTAGTCATACTCCAGAGTTCTTTTTTTAAAATATGTACTACTCTAGCTTTTATTTTCTAAATAGTATGTTATTACGTATGTTTCCTTTAATTATTTAATTTTAAAATGTTTAAATTCCCAATCAAGACATAGTAGTTACATTTTTATTAATTTCTCTTTAGAGTGTATCAAGATTTTAGTCCATACTTGAAGACACCCATAATGTGGATGCCTGATTTTTTTTTCCTGTTGCTGAGTACTATGTCAATTTTTTAAGGGTGCATGAAACATCTATAAAGAAGGTATAACCTGTTTGTAGGACCTGAAGGTCAATATATATTAATGGGACCTTAAAAACATATTTTCAGTATACACTAGGTCTTTTACAGATGTGTTCTCACTTACTAAGACAATCCTAGCTTGGCATGGTGGCTCACGCCTGTAATCCCAGCACTTTAGGAGGCTGAGGCAGGCAGATCACCAGAAGTCAGGAGTTGAAGACCAGCCTCGTCAACATGGTAAAACCCCACTTCTACACTAAAAAAAAAAAAATACAAAAATTAGCCAGGTGTGGTAGTGTGTGCTTGTGATCCTAGCTACTCGAGAGGCTGAAGCAGGAGAATCACTTGAACCCAGGAGGAAGAGGTTACAGTGAGCTGAAATTCCACCACTGTACTCCATCCAGCCTGGGCGACAGAGCAAGCCTCTGTCTCAAAAAAAGAAAAGAAAAAAAAAGACCATCCTGTAAAAAGACACATACTGTATGATTCAGCTAATATGAGGTACTTAGAGTAGTCAAACTCAAGAGACAGAAAGTGTGTGGTGGTTGCTGGGACTGTGAGATGCAGGAATGGGGAGTTGATGTGTAATCTGTAAAATGTTTCCACTGAGGAAGATACAAAGGTTCTGGAGTTGGATGGTGTGATGGTTGCACAGCACTGTGAATGTGCTTGGTGCCACAGAATGGTGCATGTAGAAATGGTTAAAATGACATATTTTATGTGACCTGTATTTGCAACAACAGAATGTTTTTGATCCTGAAATTTAGTTATCCCTATTTGTGAGTGAGGAGATGAGGTTCTGAGGTCGACCTGCTGCTAACTGGTGTAGAATCAGGATTTAAACTGAGTTGCCTGCTAAACTAAATTTGAGGAGGAAGAAATAAAAAGAAAAAATAGAAAAAGGAAGGAAGGAGGGAAGGGAGGGAGGGAGGGAAGGCGGGAAGAAAGGGGAAAGGTAGGGGAAAGGAAGGAAAGGAAAAATAATATAAAATGAGGCCGAGCATGGTGGCCATGACTGTAATCCCAGCACTGTGGGAGGCTGAGGCAGGTGGATCACCTGAGGTTGGGAGTTCGAGACCAGCCTGACCAACATGGAGAAACACCATCCTACTAAAAATACAAAATTAGCCGGTGTGCTGGTGCATGCCTGTAATCCCAGCTACTTGGGAGGCTGAGGCAGGAGAATCGCTTGAACCCAGGAGGTTGTGGTAAGCCGAGATCACGCCATTGCACTGCAGCTTGGGGAGTAAGAGCAAAATGCCATCTCAATAATAATAATATAAAATGAACTGAGTCATCTGCATTGAAAGCTGTTAGCATTTTACCCTGTTCCCTGTGTGAGCTTCAGAGAGGAGTTCGCTCACTCCTAATGTTCTCCAATGTAGAAAGCAGCACACCATGCCTTCACCCACATGCCCCATGCCCCCAGGCTCATTCCTCATCTCTTCCCAGCTGTCAAGACCACCACCTGGAGGCCCAGCAGCACAACCAGCACAGCCAGCCTCAGAGTCACAGAGGGCAAAAGGCACTCAGAGTCTTGGCACCTAAGTCTGGAGACTACTGTGTGGGTGGCAGTGGCTGTTGCTGCACTTGGAATCATGATTTTGGGACTGATTTTCCTCCTCTGGTGGAGGAGAAGAAAAGGTAAGTGCCCAGGACCCGCCTCCTCTCCATGCCTCCCAGCTGGGGGTTTCTCAGAGCCCACCTGCAGCTAAGGGGCTTCTGAAATATACAGACCCTGCCAGCTCCCCTGAAGCCCACTAAGGCCGACTCTGTGGCCTGTGCTGGGGCATCTGCAAGGAGGGCTTCTGCAGTGGGGCAGTACAGAGTCACATGTGAGAACTCCCAGCCCTCTCCACACAGCCAATTCCCCCAACCTGTTCTTCTCTCTCAGTCATTACTCATCTACCCTCCCCTGAAGGTTCCAGGGGAGGGGCGAGTCGGCCCTGGGAAAAGGACAGAGAGAGCAAAAGAGACAGGAAGTAGGCTGAGCTCAGTGCACTGGCCAACTGGCCACCTGCCACAGCCTGGCTTGAAACTGGAGAAGGAAAGTAGATAAAGCATAAACCACAGACTCTGCTCTCAGAGAACTGGGGGTGTGGGGTTGTCATTTGCCTCAAAGACTAATTGCTTCATTGAGAAATAACTATGGTAGTTCAGTTGAGCCCAGGAGTGTGAGACCAACCCCGCCAACATGGTGAAACCTCATCTCTACTAAAAAAACAAAAATTAGCCACGTTTGATGGTGCATACCTGTAATTCCAATTACTGGAGAGGCTAAGGTGGGAGCATTGCTTGAGCTCAGGAGGCGGAGGTTGCAATAAGCCACGATCATGCCGCTGCACTCCAGCATGGGCAACAGAGTGCACCCCATCTCAAAAAAGAAAGAAAGAAAGTCTTCAGTGAAAGACGATTTGCCCTATCAGCTATGAAAGCACAGAGGGGAGGAGCATGGGGTCAGGGCTGCCTGCAGTCAGATCCTGGCCTCATACCCTCGCCAGGGAAGCAGCCTTGCTAGTACAAAGGTTGTGGGCCTCAACTTCCTCATGGGAAAAGGAAGTGAAGACAGTACCTACATGGGGTTGTCCTGACAATTAAATATACTGTGTTTAGAATAAATCCTAGCAGAGGGTGTGCACACAGGAGCATCAACACTTAGAATGATTCAACAGTGGGCATTAAAAACAGGCAACACTGGCTCTCATGGGGGCACCATTGTATGAATACATTTAAAACAAAAGACAAAACGGTGCAATATTGGCATACACAGATAAAGCAATGGAAGTAAAGAGGAAAACCTAGGTATAAGAGAATGAAAACAGACCCAAATATATGTGGGAATTTAGTTGGTTAAAAAGTTTCTAATCAATGGGGAAAGATGAGCAATTCAATGAATGGTGCTGGAACTATTCAGTAGCCATCTGAGAAAAAATAACATTATCTCCTTAACTCATAATTTGTACCAAAATAAATTCCACAGGGATCAAATATTTAAATGAGGAAAAAAATAACCCTAGTATCAGAAGAAAACGTGAGATTATTTCATGACCACAGAGTAGAGACAGTCTTCTTCAGTATGACCAAACTCGAAAGCCATGGATTAAAACATTAAAATCGCCGGGCGCGGTGGCTCAAGCCTGTAATCCCAGCACTTTGGGAGGCCGAGGCGGGTGGTTCACAAGGTCAAGAGATCAAGACCATCCTGGTCAACAAGGTGAAACCCCGTCTCTACTAAAAAATACAAAAAATTAGCTGGCCATGTTGGTGCCTGCCTGTAATCCCAGCTGCTCAGGAGGCTGAGACAGGAGAATTGCCTGAACCCAGGAGGCGGAGGTTGCGGTGAGCCGAGATCGCGCCATTGCACTCCAGCCTGGGTAACAAGAGCGAAACTCCGTCTCAAAAAAAAAAAAAAAACATTAAAATCTGGCCAGGCGAGATGGCTTGCACCTGTAATCCTACCACTTTGGGAGGCAGAGGTGGGTGGATCACTTGAGGTCAGGAGTTCGAGACCAACTTAGTCAACATGATGAAATCTCATCTCTACTAAAAATACAAAAATTAGCTGGGCATGGTGGTGTGCCCCTATAATCCCAGCTATTCAGGAGGCTAAGGCAGGAGAATCACTTGAACCCAGGAAGTGGAAGTTGCAGTGAGCTGAGATCATGCCACTGCCCTCCAGCCTGGGTAACAGAGCGAGACTGTCTCAAAAAAAAAACAAAAAACTTCAACCACTTAATTTTTTTAAAATTCTACATAACAAAAACCACAGTGCTTTTCTCCTGAGAATGAGTAAGAGGGTCAGGGAACTGAAGAGAAAGTTTGACATAGTAACTGAGGAAATAGGAAGTAGAGTCTGAGAATTCAACTCAGATGAGGAACTGTAAATCCATAACAGCAGTTTTATGCATGGCTGCATTTTTCCCTAGAAGTTGTCCACCATTCAGATTTTGAGACTTTGGTGATTTGTGTTGGTCAGGAATTGTCAGTTGCTACCATCAGGGACCAGAAGTTAACGGTGGCTTAAACAAGACAGAGTTGGGTTATTTTTTCCTCCTGTCAACAGATCTGGAAGCTGGCAGCAGAGGCCATTGTTCTTAGACACTTAGGTTCCTACCTTTCTGATTCACCAGCCCTGATGCTGGCTTCTGTCCTGAAGGTTGCCTCATGGCCCAAGATGGCTGCAAAGAGTCCAGTCACTATTCCTGGGTTCCTGGCAAGAAACAGGAGGAAGAAAGAAAGAAGAAAAAATACTAGGCCCCAACTGTCTGTTCCCTTTAAAGAGTTTTCCTGAAAAACCTAAAAACAACTTCTGTTTATATCTTATTGGCTAGAATTTGCTCACGTATCCCACAGCTATCTGTAGGGGGACCCTCCCACTCCAAATACAATTAATTTTCTGTAACTAAGAAGAACTGAATAGATATTGGGTAATCAAATAGCATTTCTGCCATAAGACACCCCCAGGATTAGAGATTTGCCCACTAAGTGTGACAGAATGACAGGAGATCACAGGTCAAGGAGCTAGTGAGAGAACAGGAATGGAGATCAGAGGGGTCAGTAGGGAGTCTGGATAATCTGTAGAAAAGTAGGTTATCAAGGGATAAGAGTTCAATGAAATCTAAGAACAGGTGTAGTGGGATAATGACAAAAGAGAGCTGGAAACTTCCAAGCTTATTCTGTGAGGGCAGCATTACCGTGATACCAAAGCCAAAGCCAAAGCCAAAGCCACTACAAAGAAAAAAAAAAAAAACCTACACACCAATAACCCTGATGAATATTGATGTAAAAATCTTCAACAAAATACTAGCAAACTAAATTCAACAACAGAGAAAAAGAATTATACACCATGGGCCAGGCACAAGAATCACCTGAACCTGGCAAACAGAGGTTGCAGTGAGCCAAGATCATGCTACCCTACTCCAGCCTGAGCAACAGTGAGACTCTGTCTCAAAGGAGGAAAAAAAAAAAAGATAGATGAATATGCCAATGGAATAGAATATAGAGTCTAGAAATAAACCCTTGTACATGTGGTCAAAAGACTTGACAAAGGTGCCAAGGGCACTTAATGGGCAAAGGATAACCTCTTCAACAAATGATGTTGGGTAAACTGAATATCCATACCAAAGAATAAAGTTGGATCCTTACAGCATACACAAAATTTGACTCCAAATGGATTAAAGACCTAAATGTAAGTTCCCAAACCATAGGGAAAAAGTCTTGTGACATTGGTGATACCAAAAGCACAGGCCACAAAAGAAAAAATAGACAAACAGGACTACGTTAAACTTAAACATGCTTTTTCATCAAAGGATACAATCAACAGAATCAAAAGGCAACCTATAGAATAGAGGAAAATATCTACAAATTACATATCTGATAAGGAATGAATATTTGGAATATATAAAAACTACAGTTCAACAAAAAAATCAACCCAATGTAAAAGTGGGCAGTGGATTTTAACAGACACTTCTCCAGACAAGATATCTGCTATGGTCTGAATGTGTCTCCTCAAATCATGTATTAGAAACTTAGTCCCCAGTGTCACAACTGGGAGTTAGAGTGTTTTGGGACGTGCTTAGGTCATGACGGCTCTGCCAGACGAATGGATTAATGCCATTATAAAAAGGGATTTCAGGAGTGGGTTCACTGTCTTCTAATCTTCTGCTATGTGAGGATGCAATAACCCTCCCCTCTGGAAGACACAGCAAAAAGGCCCTCACCAGACACCAGCAAGATGCTGGCACTTTGATCTTGGACTTCCCAGCCTCCAGAACTGTGAGAAATAATTTTGGTTTGTTTTGTTTTACTTTTCAGCAACCTCTTGTTCAACAGAAGAAATAAATTTATGTTCTTTATAAATTACACAGGCTCAGGTATTCATATATATATTAGCAGCACAAAGTAGACTAAGACAATACACAAATCACCAACAAGCAGATGAAAATGGCCAACTAATGATCAGATAAATGCAAATCGAAACCACAGAGAGCTATTCCTTACACCCAGAAGGATAGCTACTATTAAAAATAAATAAATGTGGCCAGGCACAGTGGGTCACACCTGTAATCCCAGCACTTTGGGAGGCCAAAGCAGGCAGATTAAGCCATCAGGAATTTGAGACCAGCCTGGCCAACACAGTGAAAACCTGTCTCTACTAAAAATGCAAAAATTAGCCAGATGTGGTGGTGGGTGCCTGTAGTCCTAGCTACTCAGGAGGCTGAGGCAGAATAGCTTGAACCCAGGAGGCGGATGTTGCAGTGAGCCAAGATTGCGCCACTGCACTCCAGCCTAGGCAACAGAGTGAGACTCTGTCTCAAAATGAAAACAAAAATAAAAATGACAAGTGTTGGGAATGACAGGTGTTGGGAAGAATGTGAAGAAATTGGAGCCCTTGTGTACTGTTGATAGGGTTATAAAATAGTGCAAATGATGACAAAAAGCAATGCCTTTCCTCAAAAATTACAAAATAAAGGCCAGGAGTAATGGCTTACACCTGTATTTCCAGCACTTTTTGAGGCTGAGGTGGGCAGATCACCTGACGCCAGCAGTTCAAGACCAACCTGGTCAACATGGTGAAACACCATCTCTACTAAAAATACAAAATTAGCTGAGCATGGTGGCACACCTCTGTAGTCCCAGCTACTCAGGAGGCTCAAGGAGAATCACTTAAACCTGGGAGGCAGAGGATGCAGTGAGCTAAGTAAGATTGTGCCACTCCACTCCAGCATGGGTGACACAGCAAGACTCTATCTCTAAATAAATAAATAAAGCAAGCAGGCAAGCTAGCTAGCTACCATATGATCCAGCAATCCCACTTTTGGGTACATACCCAAAAGAATTGAAAAGAAAAATCTTGAAGATATATTTATACACCCATGTTTATAGCAGCCCTATTCTCAATGGCCAAGAGGTGGAAGCAACCCAGATGTCCACTGACAAATGAATAGATGAACATAATGTAGTGTGTGTGTGTGTGTGTGTGTGTGTGTGTGTGTGTGTGTAATGGAATATTATTCAGTCTTTAAAAGAAATTCTGGGCCGGGCACAGTGACTCATACCTGTAATCCCAATCCCAGCACTTTGGGAGGCTGAGGCGGGTGGATCACCTGGGGTCAAGGAGTTCGAAACCAGCATGACCAACATGGTGAAACTCCGTCTCTACTAAAAATACAAAATTATCCAGGCCTGGTCTGCAGGTGCCTGTAATCTCAGCTATTTGGGAAGCTGAGACAGAAGAATCACTTGAACCCGAGAGGTGGAGGTTAAAGTGAGCCAAGATCATGCCACTGCAGTCTAGCCTGGGCAACAAGAGCAAAACTCGAGAAGAAAACAGAGAAGAGAGAAGGAAGGGAGGGAGGGAGGGAGGGAGGGGAAGGGAGGGGAAGAAAGAGGGGAAGGGAGAGGAGGACAGGAAGGAAGGGAAAGAAACAAATTCTGACACTAACAGTATAAATGAACTTGGAGGACATTATGCTAGGTGAAATAAGACAGTCACAAAAAGACAAATACTGTATGATTCCACTTTTCTGTGGTACATAGAGATAGGAAATTAATAGGAACAGAAAGTAGAATGGTGGCTCTCAAAAGCTGCAGGGAGGAAGTGGGGATTCTTTTGTTGTTGTTGTTTTTTTTTTTTTTCTGAGACAGAGCTTCACTCTTGTTGCCCAGGCTGGAGTGCAATAGCACAATCTCGGCTCAATACAACCTCCACCTCCCAGGTTCAAGCAATTCCCCTGCCTCAGTCTCCCGAGTAGCTGGGATTACAGGCATGCACCACCACACCCGGCTAATTTTGTATTTTTAGTAGAGACAGGGTTTCTCCATGTTGGTCAGGCTGGTCTTGAGCTCCCAACCTCAGGTGATCCGCCCACCTCAGCCTCCCAAAGTGCTGGGATTGCAGGCGTGAGCCACGGCGCCTAGTGGGATTCTTTAAAATAGTTTCAGTTTTGCAAGATGAAAAGGTTCTGGAGACGTTTCACAACAGCGTAAATATGCTTAACACTACTGAACAGTACATGTGGTTAAAATAGTGAATTCTAGGGGTTTTTTTTTACCGTTAAGTAAAATAAAATATTATAACCTGTTTAAGTTTCAGAGAGGGAAAAACAGAGGGCAAGAAGAGTGCTAGAAGGAGAGAAAGATGCAGTATGAAAATGATACTAGCAATTAATATTTCAGAGTTCCCAGTCTCAACATTAAAAAAAAAAAAAAAAAATCCTGTAGAAGTGGAAGGGGAAGTCCCTGGAGTTGAGGGACACGGTGAGGCCTGGGCTCAGAAGGTGTCTCTGTGTATTCTGAGCCTTCTCAAGAGGAGGCTAGATGGTTGAGAGGATGTCTGTGGACCAGGGGCCCAGTGCTTGGGAAACACTGTAAGGATGCCAGAGGAAATGGCATCCTGGATTCAAGCAATTCCCCTGCCTCAGCCTCCCGAGTAGCTGGGATGAAAGGTGCCCGCCACCACACCTGGCTAATTTTTGTAATTTTAGTGGAGACGGGTTTTCGCCATGTTGGCCAGGCTGATCTGGAACTCCTGACCTCAGGTGATCTGCCCCCTTCAGCCTCCCAAAGTGCTGGCATTATCACAGGCGTGAACCGCCGTACCCAGCCTAGGTGTTCCACTGGACGGAATGAAAGTTGAAACATGAAAATGATACTAGCAGTTAGTATTTCAGAGTTTCCAGTCCCAACATTAAAAACAAAAAGTCCTGTAGAAGTGGAAGGTGGGGCCCCTGGAGTTGAGGGGTGCCATGAGGTCTGGGCTCAGAGAGTGTCTCTGTGGACACAGAGCTCTCCCAGGAGGCTGGATGGTGGAGAGGATGTCTATGGACCAAGGGCCCAGTGCTTGGGAAACGCTGCAAGGATGCCAGGGGGACAGGAGGGGCAGGGTGCAGTGGGAGAGGCAGCAGAGGATTCAGGGTGGGATCAGTCAGAGTGGAGGGAAGGCCGAGCAGTGGCCATAGAACTCGAATAGCCACAAACATGAGTCCCAAGCACCAGGCTCCCAAGGCTGGAGAGCAGTCACAGCCACCACCTAGAAGGAAAGCACAGGCGTGGTATCCCTGAGGACCTGGAGGGAGTGGAGGGTGCCTGTGTCAAGGGGAAGGCAGGGGAGGGGTGGGGAGGGCAGGGCAGAAGAGGAGAGGGGAGGGAAGGGGAGGGGAGGTGAGGGGAGGGTAGTTGAGGGCTCAGTGGTGGAGGGAGCCAGGTTGGGGCTAAGCAGGGTGCTCAAGAGAGCCAAGGAGAGGGTTGGGGTGAGAGGGTCTCAGGAGGTGACGAGGACAACAGGGGGGACAGGTGGGGGACTCAGGGTGCCAGCTGAGTCCCAGGCCCTTCCTGATGGGTTTGGGTAGAACTGCTCTGGTCCCTCTAAGGGAGGGCCTCAGCCTAGGGTGCAGCAGGGAAGGTGGGATGAAGACTGCCATCACCTGGATGCCACTCTGACTGTTGTTCCCCCTACAGGTCAGCAACAGGCTAAAACCACAACCTCAGCCAGGTGAGTGCTGGGCCTCCCCAAGGGGATGGGGGGTGCAGGTGTAGGCTGGTTTGGGAAATGGAGTGTGCTGCTAAGAACTCCACAACCCTAGCCTGCCACGGCCATTGTCGCATCCCCAACTGACCCATCCTCATCCTCCTTTGTCCTCTAGGGACCAGGGTCTTGACTTTGGGCTTTCTGTTCCCTAAAATCTAGACTAGTGGACTCTGGGTTCCAGCACCAACACTCAAGAGTCTTTTTTCTGGAGTGCCCATCTGTGCCCTCTGCCTGCCTTTCCTGGTGTTACTAAACTTTTCTGCTATTCACCTGCTACCTGCTTCCTCTCAGCCTGGATCTTCCAGCTTTTCCATATTGCCTGCTCTCCGTTCAATCTGTCCTGGTTTCCTGCCAAATGTGCCAGGGGGCCCCAGGCTTCCTCTGCCTCCAGCTCCTCTTACCTGTGTTTGCTCAGGAGGGACTCACCAGCCTCTCTCTATCTTGCTCCCCTCTCCAGGCTAGGGCCTCACTTTTCCTTTTTCTGGGCTCTTCCTCTCCACCCTCCCACCGTTTTCCTTTCCTTTCCTGTGGCCCCTCCTTTTCGTGCTAGAAGAAGGCCTGACTCCTGCCCTTTCTCCTGTGCTGACTTGCCAGCTGCCCTTCTCCCATACCCCACCAAGTTCCTTCTCCATCCAGTCACCCAGCATGAGCCCCTGATCAGAGGGCCTGAAATTCACACAATTGGTTTGCTGCTCCCAGTTTTAGCCAAGGCAGTGTCAGCAGAGAGAACAAAGGTTGACTTTTCCTATTTTTCTTCTCCGTGTTCCTCTCCCACACCAGCAGCTTCCTTAAGACAACCCACCTCAGTGAGCACCGAGGGACCTCTGCTGGGCCACACACAAATTGCCTCTAATTCCTCTTTCAAGCAGCCTCTTCTGAGTCTAAAACCATCACACCCATCCTACGCAGGCTGCACAGGTTGCGGAGCACCCCCAAAAGAGAACCAGCCCCTAACATGTGTCATAACTCTTTTTTAAACATTTTATTTTTGAGAGAGGGTATTGCTGTCACCTAGGTTGGAGTGCAGTGGTGCAATCGTAGCTCACAGCCTTTAACTCCTGGGCTCAAGCGATCCTCCCACCTCGGCTTCCTGAGTAGCTGGGACCACAGGCACGCATCACTACGCCCAGCTAGTTTTTATATTTACTGTAGAGGCTGGGTCTTGCTGTGTTACCCAGGCTGATCATGTACTCCTGGGCTCAAGCAATTTCCATCTGTCTCAGTCTTCCAAAGTGCTAGGATTACAGGTGCGTGAGCCACTGCCCAGCCCACGTCGTAACTGCCCAGCCTCTAACATATTTCCCGTCCTCTTGTTCCCATACAGGGGATCCTTCCAAAACACAGAGGAACTATATGAGAATACCAAGAATGAAGGTGAGTCCTCACTATCATCCTTCCTCAGTTTCTACCCCTGGCCCTTCCTGTTTCCCCAAACAGCCCCTACCTGGGTCCATGCCCCTCTCGGTACTTCTCTCTTTCCATTCCTTGCCCCCAAGTGACCTGGCCCTGACCTAGCAGATAACCTCACTCCTAGAGCCCCCTGCCCATCTCTCTCCCCTGGCTGTCACACCACCTGACCTCGGCACACCTTGCTTTTTATTCCTAGGACAAAGTACAGATCTCAAGCATAATCCCAAGGTAAGCAGTCAGACCAGGGCCTGAAGGAATTAAAGAGAAGTCTGGGCTGGGCACAGTGGCTCACGCCTGTAATCCCAACACTTTGGGAGTCCAAGGTGGGTGAATCACCTGAGGTCAGGAATTAAAGACCAGGCTGACCAACATGGTGAAACCCCATCTCTACTAAATACAAAAAATTAGCCAGGCGTGGTGGTGCACGCCTGTAATCCCAGCTACTTGGGAGGCTAAGGCGGGAGAATCGCTTGAACCTGGGGGGTGGAGGTCACGGTGAGCCCAGATTATGCCATTGTACTCCAGCCTGGGCAACAAGAACAAAAAAAAAAAAAAAAAAGAGAAACCTGGAAGCCCGGAGAAGGTGGGGTGGAAAGGAGAGAGGGAGTATGGTGTGGGGAGGACACTCAGATTGCAGGCTTGCCGCTAAGATGGGAACAGCTCCGTCTCCACTAATGCTTTCTCTTTGGGTTCTGACCCAGGACAACGGCATTGTCTATGCCTCCCTTGCCCTCTCCAGCTCCACCTTACCCAGAGAACCTCCCAGCCACCATCCCCTCAAGAGCCCCCAGAACGAGATCCTGTACTCTGTCTTAAAGGCCTAACCAATGGACAGCCCTCTCAAGACTGAATGGTGAGGCCAGGCACAGTGGCGCATGCCTGTAATCCTAGCTCCTCCAAAGCCTGAGGCAGAATAGATTCAGCTCAGGCGTCAGGGCCAGCTTTGACAACATATCAAGATGCCATCTCTAATTAAAAATATGTATTAACAATAAAATAACAAAGTTTTAAAAATTGTCTTCAAAACTATTTTTGTTAAATCTGCATCCATTAAATTCCAGAGAGAAAGAAGTTTAAAAAAAAGACTGTATGATGACCTTCTTAGGGTATGCTGTGCTTCCAACAGGAAGGGTCACAGCTTCCAACAATAACCAAGGCCACAGAGATGACTTAGAGGCTCTGACAGAAACAGAGCCATCTACTCCAGCTCCCTCTTTACCTTCCCAGCCCTTGCCCATAAAACTAAAAGTACTCCCAAAACTTGCCTGAATATATGTAAGGAGAAAATTGACATCACCTTCAACTCCTGTCCCTCCCACCGAAAATGAACTCTAACAGATAACTCACATCCAAGACCCTTCCTCCAATACTTTTTTCAGTGACCTCCTCAGGCCAGGGAACATGAGTCTCCAAACGCTGGTAGCCAGCCCAAACACAAAGCCTGCCCTTGAATCTGATCAGTCTTCCCTACGATGACAACGAGTACATCACCTCATTTGACACCACTCACAACCCTATAAGGTAGAGGATGCACTTGCTGGAAGATGAAGAGTAGAATTAGGATGGTGAACATGCTTTTCCCCAGGCCACAGAGGTAGCTAGTAAGGAGCCAAGCCTGGATTTGAAACCAGATCTGCCCTTTTCGATGTCCTGCCAGGACTCCAGGACTCAGGTCTCACTGCCTTCCCCAGATGCCTACACTGTACAGGCTCCCACCAGAAGCGGTAATGTGCCACAGTGACACTGAGGAGGGGGAGCAGCCAACAGGGGACAGTTAAGAGACCAGCCAAACCAGCTGACTGTAACCTGCTTTATTAACACAGAAACTACGCAACACACTGAACCTCATAGACAACGAGCACCCCCAGCACTTAGCAACTTCTCCCTCCTGCACCCCAGAGAAGGGAGAACAGGAGGGAGTACAGGAGCACCAACTACTTCCCAAACAGGGCCACAGGGAAGTCCTCGCCATCACTGTCGCTGCGCTGCAGCTCCCCACTCTGACCCAGCTCACTCCCAACATCTTCCATGAGTTGCTCCAAGTCCAGGTCACTGGAGGTTTCATCGTCAAGGGAGACACTTCCAGCCTTCTGGGTCAGGGGTTGCAGGGGTCTGGGCTCTTCTTTTGCAGTGAGGCCCTCATGTGCTGATGGGCTCAGGTCCTTTGGCACTGTTCTAACTTCTTTTCCCTCTGAAAAGCTGGCTGCCAAAGCCTTGCTCTGGGGAGCTTTAAATTTTTTCTTAGGGCCTAAATGAGAAGGTGACAAAGCTGAGAGTCCTATTAGGTCAGCTTATCCTTACCTTTTATAAGTCCAACTCCTATATCTCTATTTCCAAGAAATCTCTGGAAAAGATGACCTTTCTCAGTATAAAGAACATGAACCTTGGGGTCAGAAGGAGATTCAAGCTGTCCACATTCTGCGAGACACCAGCCTTATGCACTTTTACAATCCTTAGTTTTCTGATGTCTAAAATGGAAGTATCCAGTAAGAGCTATTGAACAGACATGGGAGTATCTCTTTAGCCAGCCCTTGGCAATACTGAATAAAGGTTACTTCTCTTCTACCACTCTACTGCCCCTGGGCCAAATCAAATCAGGAACCATTCTGTTTCTATAGTGTGTGCTGGGTGCAGTCTGAGACGCCCTTTCATTCTAATTTTCATTTGTTCTGTAAAGTAATGAAAAGCTGTAGAATGATTAAGAAATGATTCAGGGAAGGAAGATGCTGGCATGCACCTCATTCCCCTTAGTTTTTCCCAGGCCTTGAGCCTTACCTGGCTGGTCAGAATCTGAATTTCCTTGGCCTTCTCTCCTTTCCATTCTGGGTGCAGGAGGAGCTGTGGATTTCCTGCCCAGAGATCTCTTCATTATCTTCCTCTGCAGTATCCTGCCTCGACCACCTGCCGTGCCTGCATCAACCCCATGCCCCAGGCATGAGGAAAACGTGTTTATTTCCCTCTAAATGACAGCTCGGCAGGGGCAGATGGACTCCCCACATTGAGTCTCTGCCCTGCCCCACATCTTATGCTCAGTCTCAATCTACTGAGTTCTGGTGGCCTCTGGCTCTTTTTCGACATATTTTCCCCCCAATTCTCTTTTTTTCTTTTACCCCACGGATCTTCTCTTTATAGTTCTCCTCAGGGTCTGCCTTCTCCAGGAGGACATCCTTCTTGGCTAAGAACTTAAAACCTTCCATCTTTCACCTCAGATTTTATAATTCAGTACAGAAAAGCAAGGGGGCTCCAGCTCCCCACTGACACTACAGGTGAGTCTTGCCTGTTTTCTCAGTGACACTGAGACAGGAAGTGAGGTCCAGCTACATGCAGACTCTCTCTCTACCATTTCCCTGCCTTAACTGTAGGACGTGCCTCATTTCCTGCTGGCCTGCTTACCTCTTGGCTTGGATTTTTTGGTCTGTGTTTTGACTTGGTTGCAACTGGGCAAAGCTGGGTCCTGAGGATGGAAAAGAAAGTTTAAAAAAATCATAAATTAAGGCCTCTAACTGTTTTTAACAAAGAAGGATGCTACAGAATAACAGGTGACCTTTGGGGAATCAAAATAGGTTCTGTGAGCCTGATATCGTTTATATTTATGGCAATACAGAGAAAAATGTGTGGTCACTTTCCCAGTCTGTTGGTATTCATCAATGCAAGGCTTTAGGCACGAAAAAATGAAATAAAACTAGGCCATAGGTATGATAAGAATTGCTTAATTAAAAATTAGAAGAGAAAGTGAAAAATATATATTTCCTATACCTGGAAAACAGACGCTAAGAAAACAAGTGAATAAAAATCCTCCATGTCCATGTAGGGAAAAAGGAGTGGAAAAAAACAACTGCTATTCTCTGAATTGCTCCCAGAACAGTCAAATAAATACAGTAGGAACTGAAATGACACTCAAGAAAGCAGTTCCTAGAGATGTGGGAAATTAGAGAATAAAGAAGAAAGACGAGACCTAGAAACCCTCAAACATCTGACAATTGGGGCTCCCTTGAGACAGGGACAGGATACCTCCTTAGTAAATATAAGTCCATGCTAAAGAGATCCTTACAGGAATCTTCTAAAAGGAAACCCCAAGATCCTTGTCTAAACCATTTTTAAAGCTAATCTTGGCCAAGTGCAATGGCTCATGCCTATAATCTCAGCACTTTGGGAGGCCAAGGTGGGAAGATTGCTTAAGCCCAGGAGTTTGAGACCAGCCTGGGCAACCTGGCAAAACTCCATCCTATAAAAATAAAGCTAATCTTACCATTTGCTTTCCCTCCTTTTCTAACTCTTCCTCCTCCTCCTCCGTTTTGTCCAAGCAGGATCCTGGGCTGTTGAACCCAGAGAGCTGTAAGTCTAGAACAGGAAAAGGAAGGAAAGGCTAGCTTAGTAATTCCTACCATAAAGCAGTGAGTGAATTAAGCTGATCCCAGAGAATCTGTCTTCTAACTGTGCCTTTTGTGTCCAAGTGGTATTTTCTCCATAAAATGTGATCCCAGATTATCACACTTCCACCCTTTTCAAAGTCCATCACTATTCAACACACACTCTTCCTTCCCTATCCCATTTCTCCCATTCCTCTCTCCACTCATCTGCCCATCTATCCTGGATACTGGGTCTATAACCTTCAGAAGAGCCTCCTATTCAAGTACCCAGAATTAGCCCGATGATAGAGAATATAAAATAAAGAAAAACATGGGCTGCTGCCCTCATGAAGGAATCCCTCCCCTCCCTCTCCAGTCCTTAGCCTCCACTTATCCTACCTTTTCTTTCCCCATTACTGTTAGATCCATTGAATCGGCTCCAGAAACCAAACAAGTTAACCCGTTCCTGAAGGAACCAAGAAACAAAAGCATCATCCACTACCCTTTCAGGGGCAGTTTTTGCCTTCTGTCTTCTGGAATTTAGTTATGATGAAATTCTGATTCATTTTTGATACCAATTTTTTTTGGGGGGGACAGTGTCTTGCTCTGTCACCCAGGCTGGAATGCAGTGATACAATCTTCACTCACTGCAACCTCCCCAACCCAGGCTCATGATCCTCCTGCCTTAGCCTCCCAAGTAGCTGGGATTGCAGGCATGTGCCACTATGCCTGGCTAATTTATCTATTTTTTGTAGAGACAGGGTTTTGCTATGTTGTCTAGGCTGGTCTTAAACTCCTGGACTCAATGGATACACCCACCTCAGCCTCTCAAAGTGTTAGGGTTACAGGGGTGAGCCCCACACCCCAGCCCTCATTTTCCATACCATTTTCACTTAAAATTACACATTAGGCTTATCTGACCTTTTATGGAGATTAATTAATCATAATCTCTATTTCTAGTTTGTTTCTAATGCAACAAATAAGAAAAACTGGGAGGGGAAAATGTCGCTTTTTTTTTTTTTTTGAGATGGAGTTTTGCTCTTGTTGCCCAGGCTGGAGTACAACAGCATGATCTCAGCTCACCACAACCTATGCCTCCCAGGTTCAAGCAATTCTCCTGCCTCAGCTTACTGAGTAGCTGGGATTACAGACATGTGCTACCAAGCCGGCTAATTTTTTTGTATTTTTAGTAGAGACAAGGTTTCTCCATGTTGGTCAGGCTGGTCTCAAACTCCCAACCTCAGGTGATCTGCCCATCTCAGCATCCCAGAATGCTGGGATTACAGGTGTGAGACACCATGCCTGCCCTAATTTCAGTGTTTTTTATTCTCCATTCCACCCCGACCAACAAAATTTGAGCATAAAAACTGACTCCACAGAAAAGAGAGGTTAGGGCACTTATATCTGAAACCTGAAATGAAATATGGAGGTCAGATGCCCCCTACCACAAACCATCCTTGTCTGGATTGAGGGAGAATCCCACTTGTCCAAGAGTAGGGAAAGGAATGGGTGTGGTCTGAACACTCTCCCACCTGAATGCTGATCTGTTCTGCCTCTTGAGCCATCATCAGGGCCACCTCCAGTTTCTGGCTGCAGTCCTTGTTTCTGTGCTTTTTCTGAAATGGAAGATTACAGCCAATGATAAACACTGACTTAAAGTCATTAATAAATATTAGAGAAGTGACCCCAGCATAGTGCTACCTATCTGACATTATCTTCAACTGTAACATTTATTTCCAGTTCCTAGTATTGATATGATACTCCTATTCTTAATCTTTTTGGATCAGACATAATCTCCCCCACTTCCATCTAATAAACCTCTTACCAATTCCTAGCGTGCACACATGCGCGTGCGCTCTCTCTCTCTCTCTCTCTCTCTATATATATATATATATCACCAATTTCTAGCATGCGCATGCATTCTCTCTGTCTGTCTCTCTCTCTCTCTCTCTCTCTCTCTCTCTCTATATATATATATATATATATATATATATATATATATTTTTTTTTTTTTTAACAGTTTCACTCTGTCACCCAGGCTGGAGTGCAGTGGTGCGATCTCAGCTCACTGCAACCTCCACCTCCATTTCAAGCATTTCTTGTGTCTCAGCCTCCCACTGGGCCTACAGGCACACACCACCATGCCCAGCAAATTTTTTGTATTTTAGTAGAGATAGGGTTTCAATTGTTGCCCAGGGTGGTCTCGAACTACTGAGCTCAGGCGATCTGCCCACCTCGGCCTCCCAACGTGCTGGAATTATAGGTGTGAGGCATAACACCTGGCCCTAGCAATATTTTCAACGAACATTTTGGTGTCATCTCCAAAGTGAATCCCATAGAAATTTGAAAAGAGGATTATAGGAACTCAGGTGATTTCACTTTGAAGTTTCTGACAAGTTTCTTTAGATCCAGCTGTTTGACTGAATATTCACAGCTTGATTTTCTAAGGCCTATGAGTTACCAGGCCTCTGCTCATTTGCAAGGCTGGTCAAACCCAAAGTGACTACAAGGAGGAAACAGGATTTTGGTAATCCAATGGTTCTCAACCGGGTAGACTGTCCCTAAGAAGGCACCTGGCAATTACCAGAGGTAATTTTTTGGTTGTTAGAACCGGGGCAGGGGGCAGGGGGCAGAGGGTGGAGGTGGGGGCTGCTGCTGGTTAGATGCCTCTAGAGCCTAGGGATGTTGCTAAACATCCCATGAGGCACAGGACAGCCCTCCACAACCAAAAATTATCTCGCCTGAAACACCAATAGTGCTGAGACTGAGAAATCCTGAGTTAATCTGTGCCCTTATTTCTGACACACCTTTTTGGCTAAACTGCAGAAAAACCTCATCTTCAGAATGGCCCCCAGTCTGCAGGCAGGGAAGGGGACTGAAAAAATTCATTGCCCTACTGCAATCCTAGGAGCAAGAAGGGTCCTTCATGAATTATCTCACCCTTGGCACACCTGGTCAGACATGGAACTTTCTCCCAACATGACTTAACCTGGGAGAAAATCAGGTTTAATAAAAGGAAGATTTCATTTTCCAGTTCTCTGTATCACAACAGAATCCCAAGATGTGCTTACCATGCCTGATGGCTCCAGGGACAGCTCCTGGAAGTTCTTCAGCATGTTGACTGGGATCCATGCACGAGAAACTGTTTCTCCAAAAAATGTCACATGGTACTTAGACTGAAATAAAAGACGGTCCTGTTATGGCCTCCTGTCCTGCTCTCTGTTTTTCTCCTCTAGCCAGAACAGACAGGGAGAATGGGAATTCACCCAGAAGGAGGTGCTGGGCCTCACATGCACCCTCGAAGCCTGACTCATCTACCCTACCCTCATTCCAATTGTTTTTCCATTCTAACCTCAAGAATCCTAGCCAAAGCATATTTGTCAAAACCACTAATCCCCTGACAGTGGATAAATATTTAATTAGACACAAGTTTGTTTCTACTGTATGTGTGAGTACTTATCTCTGTGTTTGTCATCCCCGTAAAGTGTTTTCACTTGTGTCTGCTGGCTATGTCTATGTCTCTAATCTGTACATCTGTGAGGATGGATTTGTTCATTACTTTGGCCTGAGCTCCTCTAACCCTGAGCCAGGAAACTCACCGGCAGTGAATCAAGATGGGAAGTAAAAAGAAAATATTCCCCCAAGTCAGGATCAGATTCTATCATGCCTGGCCACCTGGAGAAGGTAGTTGGGTGTAGGGTACAGAAGAGAAGGGGTTAGATGAACAGAACACAACCTCATCAATGTACATGCACAGAAAAGAGCAGTACGTTTTTGGTTTTTTTTTCTGAGATAGGGTCTCTGTTGCCCAGGCTGGAGTGCAGTATTGCAACCATGCCTCATTGCAGCTTCGATATCCCAGGCTCCAGTGATCCTTCCACCTCAGCCTCCTGAATAGCTGGGACTACAGGAATGTGTGCCACCACAGCCAGCTGTTTATTTTATTTTTTGCAGAGATGGGGGGGTTCCACTATACAGCCAGGACTTATCTCAAACTCCTGGGCTCAACCAATCCTCCCACCTCAGCCTCCCAAAGTGCTGGGATTACAAGCTTAAGCCACTTCATTCAGCCAGCAGTAAGCTTTGCAAAAAAAAAAAAAAAAAAAGATCCAAAAAATAGATTCCCATCCCATCAGCCCCATCTGGTGGTCACTACTGAATGACTCAGATGAGGAAGGACTTCCACTGATGCACACAGGAGCGCAGAATATACCTAGTGAAGGTATCTTATCCTTCTGAACCATCCCACAATCCTAAGAACAAAATCTTTGACTAGGCACATCTCCAAAGAAGAAACTGTCCCACTTTTCCTTGTTATCTTTACTTTGTATCTCTCAATATCAATATTTTGATTTTTATTTATTTTTGAGATGGGGACTCACTCTGTCACCCAGGTTGAAGGGCAATGATACAATCTTGGCTCACTGCAACCTCTGCCTCCTGGGTTCAAGTGATTCTCCTGCCTTGGCATCCTGAGTAGCTGGGACTACAGGCGTGTGCCACCACGCCTGGCTAATTTTTGCATTTTTAATAGAGACAGGATCTCACCACGTTGGCCAGGCTGGTCTCAAACTCCTAGGCTTAGGTGATCTGCCCACTTTGGCCTCCTAAAGTGCTGGGATTACAGGCATGAGCCACCATGCCCGGCCATTCTCAGTATTTTTAAATGCCTCATATCCACCCTCTTCTTTCTTTCTTTCTTTCTTTTTTTTTTTTGAGACGGAGTTTCGCTCTTGTTACCCAGGCTGGAGTGCAATGGCGCGATCTCGGCTCACCGCAACCTCCGCTTCCTGGGTTCAGGCAATTCTCCTGCCTCAGCCTCCTGAGTAGCTGGGATTACAGGCACATGCCACCATGCCCAGCTAATTTTTTGTATTTTTAGTAGGGACGGGGTTTCACCATGTTGACCAGGATGGTCTCGATCTCTCGACCTCGTGATCCACCCGCTTCGGCCTCCCAAAGTGCTGGGATTACAGGCTTGAGCCACCGTGCCCGGCTACACCCTCTTCTTTCTACCAGTTGGGGTAGCACTATCAGACCCTTTTTATAGGGAGCTATCACCTCCATGCGGAAATCTCCAGAAAACACTCTCTTTCAAAGCCTCCAGGCTTGGTACTTTATCTTTTCTCCCACCCCCTGCTCTAAGGCCAGAACCATTTCAATTACAGATGTTTCCATTTCCTTCCCTCCCTGCTTGAATCTACCTCTCCCAAGTTTGTGAGGGATGCTCTACGTCATAGTGCCATACCAGGGGTAACCGTATTGCTTGGCCCAAATGATGGATCCTGGAACGTAGGAGGCATAGGCCACATCACTCTCAAGCCCCGTCCAGGTCTCCTCAGGAATATCACAGCGATTATACTCCATATCTGCCAAAAGACAGCAAGAATAAAGGAACAGGAAGAGACTCATTAGGAGAAAGAGCTGGATGAGGACAGGAAGGAAATTGATATATGCCACAGGTGGGACCAAAAGGGCACCTGGGGGATCAGCATGGAGGAAGAAGAATAAAGACCCATGGAAAAATGCAGCTGGAACCAGTGGAAGTAGGAGTGCTGCCTCCTCATACTCTATAGAAAGAAATTCCACGCTCCTGCTCACACCCCTGTGTGTCTGACTATGCTCCCATCTATGGAGCACCATGAGATAATTCTCTAAGACTCTGTTTTCTCATCTGTAAAATAATTGGGCTGGACTGGATCATCAACATCTCTTCCAACTAGTTTCAAACATCCTAGAATTCTAAGCATACCAGATCTCTCTCATCTGTTTTCCCCCATATATCCTATATCCCTCCCTATCCACCAACCCAATACCAATTATTGTAATCAGGATTGACAAGGGCAGACCAATGCTCATACATTTAGATTCCAGGCTCCTCCCAAGATCATTTTGCAGGGCGTCTTCCTCCAGACTTTTCTGCCCAAATTCATCTCCATATGACAGGCAGCTCCTTCCTCTCTCCCAAGCACTACAAGGACCCACTGAGTGTTAACTGTATTTAAGTAGTATTTAATCTAAATAAGTTCAGAGAAAGAAAAGGAGGAACAATAAAACCTGAACGAAAACATTTCCAGTCTTTTCTACCTGTGTTCTGGTCACAGGACCAATTATCTGGGAGAACTGAGGGGTCAACATTCCCACACAGCCGTCTCCATTTCCCACAGTTTGGGAAGGAACACTGGACCCAAACCAGACATTGATCTGTGAGAAGGGAAAAATGAAATAAGAGACTTAAAAATATGCTCTTCCTTCTTTAATTCAACTAAAATCAGCATAACTGTCCCAACTCCCAAAATCACATATAGAGCTACATAAGAGATCAACCAGCCCGATCCCTGACTTATAAGTGGGAAACCAAGGCTCAAAAAGGTAACTGGCTTGCTAAGGATCAGCTAACATGGTGATAGAGCTGAACTTAGAACTCAAGTCTCATGTCTTGATCTTTTTCCTGTACTAGGCTACCATGTTTCCTCACCGTAAGGCTGAAAAGAATGTTTCTTGTATTGACAGTTCTTAAATTAGAAGGCTGCCTGGCATCTTTCCAGGTAGTTAGTGCCTTGTTCTCTGCTGGCATAACACTACTGAGTTCTTCTGAAGGGCTAACCAGCATCTCTTTTGTGCACAACATCCAGAGTTCTTATCCAAGTCTCAACTGATTTACCTGTCACCAAATCACCAAGTTGCAACCTCTAGGACCAACAGTGTCTGAGTTCACTCTTCTCCAAAAGACACAGATTAAGCCTATCACTTCTCCATCATCTATTAACTTTGGGCCCTGCTCAAAGGCCAAGCCTTCCTTTTATCCATTACCTTCCAAACCTCCACCTCTCCTAAGCTGACTAATGTCCCTCAGCCTCTCTTCTCTCCCATCGGAATTCTTCCATTGTGGTCTTGGAAACTCCACTGACTTGAGCAACAAAAGTCCACATATCCTCAACCTCATCTCTGAACTTCTATCTCCTTTTGAATCCTGGAGACCCACTAACGACACTACCCCACCCAAACCACCCTGACCTGCAGCCCTGTAAGTGGAGTCTGTTCCTCTCACACTCCCCATGTCTCTCGAGACTGAAAGTGGGCCAGCATTATCATTATTCCCATTGCTACTACTCCCCAACTCTTATAAAAACCCCTCCTCCTTTGACGTCTATGCCATGGGACTATACCTGCCTCTCATATCCCTTGTGGAGATGCTGGCATCTGATTCAGTCTTCTCCTCTCCACTTCCCGCGTGCTCCACCCAGTCATCTACAGGAACTGCACACCCTCTGAGCCACTTATCCAAACATCCTCACTACAAAAATGCCCCATCCTTCCACCTCACTTGCTCAAAGACTCCTACAGCAACTTGCATTTTATCTAGCTCTCCAACCAACTGCCCCCACCATCCTTTCCATCTGGAAGCAATTTCCATTCTTCCCTCTGTTCCAGCCAGGTTTGATTACTTGACACGTACTTGGATTCTCTTGTAGACACCTTCAGCTCCCTTTCCCACAGCCCTTCCTCGCACCCAGATAGCAAAACACCAACTGGTATGAACCCTCTCTCCACCTTTTCTGAGCCTACACTCAAGCAATTGAGTTGAGAGAGAAAAATCACATAACAGACATATAGGTATCACTATATATTCCCTATTTAACATTATCAACCAATATATTTCTCTAGTAAGTTCACTCTCTCCCACTGCCAAATTTTACCTTAAATACCTGATCATAAGGGACGGCCCCTAATCCCATCCTTCCAAAATCATCCCTCAGAAAAGAAGCTGATTTGCATATGGTTCCTTTCAAAATATCACATGTAAGAGAGAACTTTCGAAACTACTTTTTTTTTTTTTTTTTTTGAGACACCGTCTCACTCTGTTGCCCAAGCTGAAGTGCAGTGGCACAATCTCGAGTCACGGCAACCTCCACTTCCCAGGTTCAAGTGATCCTCCCACTTCAGCCTCCCAAGTAGCTGGGACTACAGGCATGCACCACCATACTATCAGTGAAGTTTTTGTATTTATTGATAGAGGTGGGGTTTCACCATGCTGCCAAGACTAATTTTGAACTCCTGGGCTCAAGCTATCCACCCTCCTCAGCCTGCCAAAGTGCTGGGATTACAGGGGTGAGCCACCACACCCAGCCTCAATTACCTTATCTTGAAGAACAAAGTACTGGTTGGGAATAATGTGTTAGTCTTAAATGACAGTTGCCAATGACAATTTTGGATGTTTACAGAGGTGACCTAGCAAGACTAGAAAAAAAAGAGTAGGAAGAGAGGCCAGGAATCATATAAATTAATATAGATCAATAATACAAATTATTAGCTGTTAAAGCAATGAGTATTCATAAGAAAATGAGTAGGAAAAAATCACTACAATGATATGGAACTGGAAATTTATGGCTTGGAATGATATTTTTGATAGGAGCACTGTACTTTTTTGAAAAAGTTTCCTTTCAAGTAACCTAAAGGAACAGGTAATGTGCTCTGGAAAACTGTGTTTGATGCCCAGATGTGGCTCTATTATAATGAAGACTGATGTCACAGACACACGTTAAGAGGATTTCACTTGACCACTCATTCTTGAAACACTAGCTTCCTAGGTTCTGTGATGTCTCATTCTCCTGCCACCCTCCCCACCATTTTCTGGCAGCTTCCCCCGAGTCTCCTTTGCTGGGTTCCCCTTGTTCTTCAATATCTAAATGTCAGGGGTACCAAAGCCCAGTCATGGGCCTTCTCTCCCCATAATACACTTTTTTCTGAGGCAAGCTCACCCATTCCCATGGCTTTGAAATCCATTTTCATATCTGACAGCACACAGCTGTTTACTTACAGCCTCTTTTCTGGGCTCCCGATTCCTAAGCCATTTTGTTCTTGACATCTCATCTGGATGTCTCACAAGGATCTCAAGCCTAAATGTACCCAAACTTGAATGCTTGATCTTATCCCACAAATTTGTTCTTCCTCTACTCTTTCCCATTTTCTTTCACTTAACTATTCAAGCCAGAAACCAATCATCCTTGACATATCCTCCCTATCTCCAGCCTTCCAATATCCGATTCATTTCCAACTTCTAACAATTTTACCTCCAAAACATACCTTAAAACCATCCACTTTTCTCTTTCTCTACTTTCATCATCCTAATCCATTTTATCTTTTTTTAATATTTACTTTTTTTTTGACATAGGGTCTTGCTCCACTACCCAGGCAGGAGTGATGTGGTATGAACATAACTCACTGCATCCTCAAACTCCTGGGCTCAAGTGATCTTCCTGCCTCTGCCTCCCAGAGTGCTTGGATTATAGGTGTAAACCACCGTGCTCAGCTATCATCCTAATTGAAGCCACCAAAATACCTAATCCTCCTATTAACTTCTTAACTGGTCTATTCTTGTCTTCTCATACTCCATCTCCAATTAATCACCAAAGACTCCTTTTAAAACAATAATTTGAAGATGTCACTTCCCTAGTTAAAACCCACCAATGACTTCCCACTGCACTTAGGACATGTTCACTCTGTACACGGTCTTTGACCTAGCCATTGCCTCCTCCTTTCCAGTCATCCAGAGCCACTTTCCCACCTTGCCTCCCTTTGCTCTCTGAACTCTGCAATCACACTAGCCTTCTTTTAGTATCTGGAACCTGCCACACTTTACTCTACCAAAAACTTTTTCTTCACTTGGATAACTTCTATTCTGCCTTCAGGTTTCAAGTGAAATACCCTTTCCTTAGAAATGCACTCCCTGACTGGCCCAATCTTACTTCTTCTTATGATACTCTGCTCTTTTCCTTCCCTGCACTTCATGCAAATTGTATTCAAATACTCCTTCCTGCTGCAGGAGCACTCACCTCTCCTTGGTAACTATAAGAAATGGAAAGAACGGTTTATTTATAGCAGGAGGCTGATAAATCCACAATCACAATTCACCTCACAAGCACCACCTAGAGGATGAAACCCCATCTGCCTGCCTAAGATCTAGTCCATGCAGGTTTTTTTTTTTTTTCCAATTTTTAAAAATATAAATTCACTTTTTTTTTCTTTTTTATAGAGACGGGGGTCTCACTATGTTACTCAGGCTAAACTTGGATCCTGGCTTCAAGTAAGCTTCCTACCTCAGCCTCCCAAAGTGCTAGGATTACAGGCGAGAGCCACTGTGCCCAGCCCCTTGCAGTAATTCTAAGAGCAACACAAACCTAATGACACCAGTTTACTTGAGCTAACCAGAGATCAGGTCAGTGGCGTCTGCAGTATCCCAAAAGTTCTCAACAAGCACATCTGAGTTTATACAGTCACAGAAAACCAAAAGAAAAACCTTTTAGTTTCCTTTTTGACTCTACCTAAAAAGAAAACTCCCTTGGGGTAGTTTGAACTCCAGACCACCTGGTTGTTTAAATTAGACTTATACCTCAGTGCCTTATGTTACCATGTTATTATAACAAGAGGAATGGCTTATTGACCTGGACTACCTTGTTTGATGCCTGCATAAGCCTGGTTATTTTTTTTTTTTTCTTGTATCAATGAGGGTCTCACTGTGTTGCCCAAGCTGGCCTCAAACTCCTGGCCTCAAGTGATCCTCCTACCTTGGTATTTTTGAACATACTAATATATTTTATGATCTATTTTATTTCTTGTCATAAAATTTCCCATTATCACTTTAGTTATTTCATGTAATATATTTATTATCTAATACATTAAACCTATAAATTCTCTGAAGGAAGTGTTGACAGTTTTGTTGCCCACTGTATTTTAGCCTCTGGTGCAACACTCGGCACAAAATATAAGGCACTAGTAACTGTTGTTAAAAGAATAAATGAATTCAGGGCTGGGCGCGGTGGCTCACACCTATAATCCCAGCCCTTTGGGAGGCTGAGGCGGGTGGATCACGAGGTCAAGAGATCGAGACCACCCTGGTCAACATGGTCAAACCCCGTCTCTACTAAAATAACAAAAATTAGCTGGGTATGGTGGCGCACACCTGTAATCCCAGCTACTCAGGAGGCTGAGGCAGGAGAATTGCTTGAGCTCAGCAGGCAGAGGTTGCGGTGAGCCGAGATCGTGCCATTGCACTCCAGCCTGGGTAACAAGAGCGAAACTCCATCTCAAAAAAAAAAAGGAATAAATGAATTCATATCTATCCTTACCATGCCTCCATCTAGTCTTGAAGGCTAAGGATGATGAATAAATCCTCTGAAACTCTTTCCACTCCCATCTCTTCAATCTCGTGCGCTCTATAATTTTCCCTCAGCATGTAAATATGCTCAAGTCTCTCTCTTTTAAAGTTATAAAATAAGCCCTCCCTCAACTCTGCACCCATTCTTTTTTATCTACTATTTTCTCCCTCTTAAACTAATTGAAAAAGTGTTTACTCCTCAACCAGCTATAAGCTGCCATTCATGTTTACCAACCCTTTCGGTAATAACCAAACCTCTAGCAGCCTCCTCTGTGATATCCTTGAGCTTATGTTTATCCTCTTTGACTTCTTTATGATGGCATTTGACATGGCTGAGCATCCCTCTTTCTTTCTTTATTATAACAACAGGAATGGTTTATTGACCTGGACTACCTGGCATCTCTTCTCCCCTGGCATCTGTGATACCATTCCTGATTTTTCTATTACCTTTCTGACCATGTCTTCATTTTCTTCCTGGGAAACATCTACAATGGTTTGTACATAGCAGGGACCCAACAACTATGGATTATGTGAATAAATGACTGAATGAATGAAATAATTCTTTTAGCAGCATATTTTCCAACAAGCAGCTGTGAGAGATAAATTACACTTGGGGCTGGGTGTGGTGGCTCACACCTGTGATCCCAGCACTTTGGGAGGCTGACGGGGGTAGATCACAAGGTCAGGAGATCGAGAACATCCTGGCCATGATGAAACCCCATCTCTACTGAAATACAAAACATTAGCCAGGAGTGGTGGCATGCGCATGTATTCCCAGCTACTCGGGAGGCTGAGGCAGGGGAATCGCTTGAACCTGGGAGACGGAAGTTGCAGTGAGCCAAGATTGTGCCACTGCACTCCAGCCTGGTGACAGAGCAAGACTACACCTCAAAAAAAAAAAAAAAAAAAAAAAAAAAAAAAAATATATATATATATATATATATATATATATATATATATATATATGTAATTTGCAGAGTTTTCTCTAACATTCTAACCCTGCCTCTCTGCTCTATCTCAAGTTTTCAGGCCAAGTAGGTTTTCCAAACCAGCTGAACTCACCAAAACCACTTATCTCTCCTTTTTGCTGGTCCCTGATCTGGGAATGATCCTGAACTGTTTTCTTTAGTTGGTCTTTCTGTCTGAGCTCATGTCCACTTTGAGTTTTCTCTACTTTCTCATGTCCTGGGAAGAAAAAAGAAAACATGGGGTGGGGAGATGAAGAAGGCAATATTTGTGGATAGTAAACTCAGTGATAGAAGGAAGAATCACAGCCTAACAGTTTCAAGCCTTGGGCTGAAAATTCTCAGCCTGCCTATGGTCCCATTCCCTAATTTCCTGGAGCAAGTACTTGAGCCAGGCTTCAAAGCTGTACTTACCAGCTTCCTTCTTTCTTTTGCTTAAAGAGAGTCTACTGGATTTCTTCTCAGAGGGTGCAGGATCTGGTTGGCCAAGCTTAGATGTCCTTATCTCAGGGACAGCTTCACCTTCCCAAGACACTGAAATCTCTTGAGTATGTGGTACCTCCTCTCTGAAAATGAGATTTTATTTTAATGAAAGGCAAAAAGAAAGCAACTGCAGAATCCTTCTTTGGAAAAAACCCAAGAGTAAAAGACAGACAAATCCTAGGCTCTGTAAGTCCCCTGAGGTCATTTCATAAATATACTTGCCTATTTTTCCCAAAGCAAACAGGTATGTTTCCTGAGCTGAGAGAAATCTATAGAAATATGATAAATGACCAGAAAGACAAAAAGATAGACAGACAGACTGACTGACCATGATTTACCAATGTGTAGTCCATTCTGTGTTCACCTTGCCTCACTGAGATAAACTTACCCATCAGCATTGTCAGTATCAGTAGCAGAAGCAGTAATTCCTGGCTCCTTGTCTGAATGGGTAGATACTATGGGCTGGGCACAAGAAGTCTCTGCAAAATCAAGGCCAGATCCCATCCCTCCCAAAACAAAATACTATAAGCAGAGAAGCAATAAAACAACCATTCTATTATTCCCTAACCATTTTCATTCAAGTGTCTTCTCCCTGCAGCCTGAAAGAGCCTACCTTTGACCTCCTGTCATATCATAGAACTTTAGCTATTTAAATGTTCAGGAAAAACTACAAATATATATATATATATATATATATGTATATATATATATGTATATATATCTTTTTGTAAGCCTTTCCAGATTGGCATGCCTCATTCCAGGATGGTCAGGTAATAATTTTGTGTACATAAAAAAATTACGGGCCAGGCATGGTGGCACATGCCTATAATCCCAGCACTTTGGGTGGCCAAGAGGGTGAACTGCCAGAGCTCAGGATTTTTTGCCCAGACTGGACAATATGGTGAAACCCCATCTCTACTAAAATACAAAAAAATTGCCAGGCATGGCAGCATGCACCTGTAGTCCCAGCTACTCAAGAGGCTGAGGCAGGAGAATTTCTTGAACCCAGAAGGCAGAGGTTGCAGTGAGCCAAGATCACGCCACTGCCCTCCAGCGTAGGTGACAGAACATTAATCTGTCTAAAAAAAAAATAAGTAAACAAAAGAAACAACAACAAAACCCCATAATGGTTTGAAAATTTCAGTAAGACTATATATAAATTCTGAATATACCCTTTAATCTAAGGTGGTTTATAGTCCTGTTGATAGATGATAAAGTATTTTTAGAATATGTTGAAGTCTCATCTAATATTACCTTACTTAGAAGATGGGAGAGAAAGAGAGAAGCTGTAAGATTTAACTCTCCCTCTCAGGTCTAACAGTCACTCTGCCTGACTAAAACCCTTTTTCTCTTATTACATGCCATACCCAAGCACTCCTGAAGGGACTTCTGCAGCACAATCTGGACAATCTCCTCAAATTCTGCATTGGTAAGACTTGATTTTTCCTGCAGAGACAAGGGTAGGGGAGGAAAACCACTTAATATGTCCATGGTTTTCCCCTCTGAACAGTCATCTAAAGGAGGGAAGCCTCCTTTAGATGAGGCAGTAAAGTCTGGAAGACTGAAAGCATGCAGTCAGCATACCTAAAGAGGCCATGTACTCTATCCCAGATCTTCTGGGAATAAATGAGTCAAAGGAAAGAGAAAAGTGTATAACATCTCTGTCCACTTCTACTCCCATCTCTAACCCACCTCATCTCATTATTTCCTGCTAAATTCTTTCATCAAAACATTTTTGACCCCTCTAAGGAAAAAAAAAAAAAATAGAAGCCTCCAAAAGGAATACAAAGCTGAAACTACAGGGTATATTTTCCCAAAGTGAAAAGACTGCTTATTTAACCTGAGCCAGGGGCAGGGATGAGGAAATGTCCTACCAGAGCCCACCAATGTGACTGATACCTTTTCTTTCTTCTCTGCTTGCTTGTTGTTTTGTGCCTTTCTTTTTTTTTCCTGGCCCCTGCTGGAAGCATTGTTTGTGGTTGCTTTTTCCTCCTTCTTTAACCTGGCCTTTGGCAGGCTTATCCTGGCCTCTGTCTTTGGGGAACTGATCCCCAGGGTCTCCTTTTTGGGTGAGTTAGGGCTAAAAGGTATCAGGTTGTAAGATTTTTGTGCAGGTGGGGCAAAGATTCTCTTTGGTCCCTTTCCACATTCTGAAAGAAACGTGATCAAGTGGAATTTGTGAAACAAACAATCTAACAGAGATTGCCAAACATTACCCTTTGAATGGCCATAACAGAATTATATGGAGAGAGCTTTTATCAAATTCAGATTCCTGGGTTTCTTGCTGCCTACTCCACTCCCCAGCCCTGAGATGCTGATGAGGTAGTTTGACATGAGAGGCCTAGCAATCTGGAATTTTACAAGACTAGTTGATTCTGATATGCTTCCAGGTTTGGGAACTACTAAGTCAAAGGTAATAAATATAAACATGCAGGAAGCTGAATTATCCAAATGTGAAACTGTATAATTTGCTCATTTTTACTTTAGATAAAATGTTATGGAAAATTAAGAGCAATTTAAAAAAAAAACTAGTCAAAATCTATAAATTATTCACAGCTTTTATGCCATCTCCTCAATAAAAATTATAATGATCCTCCCAGGTGTATCTTTCTTCTGAGCTTCCTTAATACTCTGCACATAGCTGGTGGCATTTACCACATTCAACTTTATAATAGGTATTTAGATGCCTTTTCTCTCCCTATGAATTCAAACGTTCCTCGAGCAGGACTGTTTTTAAGTCATATTTCTTTCATTCAAGGCATCTAACAGAGTAGTAATTTCACCATAGTGGGCACAGAATATAATGGGACCTGAACCATCCTTTGGTGGAAAGGATGTCCAAAAGGAGAAAAATGAGAGAAATGTAGAAAGTGAACGTCCCTCACTCTTGACTCACCTTTGTTCTGCAATGTTGTCATCATTCAGCTTAGAAACTACACTTTGTGTGCCTCTGTTAGAAAAAAGAAATTAACTGCTAAGACTCTAATTAAACAAGATTTTAAACTCCCTTCTCTCCATCTTGAGGTCGAAACCTCTGTTTTAGACCCATGAACTATGCTTCTGCATCCTTGACCTCCTCTGTGGTGCCAATTACATGCCTCTGTGGTACAAATTACATGCCAAGGAATAATGAGAGCTACTGTTTTAAAGATTAGCAGCAATCAAGAGTGGGTATGGTAGCTCACATCTGTAATCCTGGCACTTTCGGATGCTGTGGCAGGCAGATCACCTGAGCCCAGGAGTTTAAGACCAGCCTGGGCAATACAGCGATATCCCATTTCTACAAAAAATAAAACAAATTAGCCAGTGTGATGGCACGCACCTGTAGTGCCAGCTACTCTGGAGGCTAAAGTGGGAGGATCACATGAACCCAGGAGTCAGAGGCTGCAGTGAGCCAAAATCATGCCCCTACATCCCAGCCTGGGTGACAGAGTGAGACCCTGACTCAAAAATTTAAAATAAACAAATAAATATTAGCAGCAATCCTTAGTGTTTTATGTGTCTAGAACCATGTCCAACATAATGCAGGCAGCAGAAATGGTAGTGGTAGTACCAGAAGCATAGGTAGTAGCAGAGCAGTGATGGTAGGGTATGAATAATCCTGGCAGTTAAAGACAGTTTTCTTCAGAGGGATAGCTTCATTTCATAAGCCTCTCCTAAACACTTAAAACACAAACATAATTTGGTAATTCTCTGACCTGACTCAGAGGTCTCTGTGCATAGAGAAGCCCCACTTTTAACATCATTATGATGTTTATTTTCCCTTTCTTAGATCCTCAGTCCAATCAATTTTCCAATGTACTGGATTCTACCAATCTCCAGTCACAGCTCAGAAATATCTGGTAACCAGCACAGGTTCCCAGAGAATTTAACATCTTCTTCCTTATGAAAAATTAAATTAGTGCCTTTGATATTCATAGTTCATCTTCAGCAGTCTACTCACAGATGTTCCACACGACATCAATATGTTTCTTGATTACTACTGACACTGTGACTAATGGTAATGGCTAACACTGAGCACCGACTATATTCTTTACCCTTTACGTAGCATTCCATTTAATTCTCACAAGAGATCTATGATGTGGATAACATTTTACACTTGGGAGAAATTCAGGCTTAAAGAGAGTAAGATATTAAGTCATTGATAAGTAGTAAAATCAGGATTAGAACCTGTCTGATTTCAAAGTTTGTGCTAACAACTGGCTATGTGACATCCTAATAGTCTAATTCAGTACTTCACCACCATTTTGCTATCACAGCACACACAGAAAACATATATTACAAGCCTATACTGAAGCACATAGAAAATGACATTTCCAGGTACTCTGGGGGTAAAAGAACCAGGCAGAAGGAATTAGGATCTACACAGCTACAAGCTATTCGTGACTCAATAGTGTGCCAAGGCTCACCCTGGAGACATTCTAGTATTTTTGTTTTCTAACTTATACTTTCCCACTACTATTTCCACACAGCTTTTAAAAAAAATTTTTCTTTCCAACCTTCATTTTACATTCAAGGGTTATATATGCAGTTTTGTGACACAGGTAAATTGCATGTCATGGGATTTAGGGCAGAGATAATTTTGTCTCACAGGTAATGAGCATTGTTCCCAATAGGTAGTTTTTCAGTCCTCACCCTCCACCCTCAAGTAGGCCCCAGTGTCTGGTGTCCCCTTGTGTCCACGTGTATGCAATGTTGAGCTCCCACTTATAAGTGAGAATATGCAGTATTTGGTTTTCTATTCTTATGTTAATTCACCTAGGAAAACAGCCTCCAGCTCCATCTATGTTGCTGCAAAATACATGATCTTGATCTTTAACACAGCTGCATAGTATTCTGTGCCCACCCAGCTTTCAGAAGAAAACTGTCTGATTTTATGTTAACCTCAACTACTTATAGCCCTTATACCCAGTTTTCTTAGGCTTAAGTGATATACACCATTCTTACTTTTATAACCATTATAAAAAGCATTATAGCTCTGGGAAGACCTTTAGGGATAATAAAGCCCCATCTCCCTTTTCTACAGATGGAAAAAAAATATGCTAAGAGAGGTTAAGTGGGCCAGGAGCAGTGGCTCATGCCTGTAATCCCAGCACTTTGGGAGGCTGAGGCAGATGGGTCAGGAGTTCAAGACAAGCCTGGCCAACATGGTAAAACCCTGTCTCTACTAAAAAATACAAACATTGGCCGGGCGCGGTGGCTCAAGCCTGTAATCCCAGCACTTTGGGAGGCCGAGGCGGGTGGATCACGAGGTCGAGAGATCGAGACCATCCTGGTCAACATGGTGAAACCCCGTCTCTACTAAAAATACAAAAAAACTAGCTGGGCGTGGTGGCGCGTGCCTGTAATCCCAGCTACTCAGGAGGCTGAGGCAGGAGAATTGCCTGAGCCCAGGAGGCGGAGGTTGCGGTGAGCCGAGATCGCGCCATTGCACTCCAGCCTGGGTAACAAGGGTGAAACTCCGTCTCAAAAAAAAAAAAAAAAAAAAAAAATACAAACATTGCCAGCTGCGGTGGCCAAGGTGGGTGAATCACGAGGTCCAGAGCTCGAGATCATCCTGGCCAACATAGTGAAACCCTGTCTCCACTAAAATATAAAAATTAGCTGGGCGTGGTGGCTCGAACCTGTAGTCCCAGCTACTTGGCAGGCTGAGGCAGGAGAACTGTTTGAATCCGGGAGGTGGAGGTTGCAGTGAGCAAAGACTGCAATACTGCACTCCAGCCTGGCACCTCGTGACAAAGCAAGACTCTGTCTTAAAAAAAAAAAAAAATTAGCTGGGCATGGTGGCTTGTGCCTGTAATCCCAGCTACTTAGGAGGCTGAGGTAGGAGAATTGCTTGAACCGGGGCCCAGGAGGCAGAGGTTGCAGTGAACCGAAATCGCACCACTACACTCCAGCCTGGGCTACAGAGCAAGACTCCATTTCAAAAAAAAAAAAAAAAAAAAGGTTAAGTGATTTGCCCAAAGACTCAGTGTTAATATATATTGTTAAGCTTAGATGAACCTAGGACTTTTGCCTCTCAATTCTACTAATAACATATCTATTCTACTCAGTGATCTTGTTTCTGGCTGTTGGTTTTGAGCAGTTTGAAAGCCCTGCAACCGAAACTTATTGTTCTAAATCTGTGATCTCCCACTATAAAGAGATAGGAAAGCAGCATAAAATAATCATTTGGGCCGGGCGCGGTGGCTCAAGCCTGTAATCCCAGCACTTTGGGAGGCCGAGGCGGGTAGATCACGAGGTCAAGAGATCGAGACCATCCTGGTCAACATGGTGAAACCTCGTCTCTACTAAAAATACTAAAAACTAGCTGGGCATGGTGGCGTGTGCCTGTAATCCCAGCCACTCAGGAGGCTGAGGCAGGAGAATTGCCTGAACCCAGGAGGCGGAGGTTGCGGTGAGCCGAGATCGCGCCATTGCACTCCAGCCTGGGCAACAAGAGCGAAACTCCGTCTCAAAAAAATTTATCATTTGGTTCATATACACTTCCCTTTTAAGAATCAGAAAATTTTAAAACCTTAAATGGCCAACTTCTTCAAAGTATGGGGTTCCTCTCTCTAGACCATAAGATAAACTTAAAGAGTACTGAGGTTTTGGCAGTGTGGCCACAGCATAGTTAAATGTGAAATATTTTTAAATTATCCTTTAGCATTTTTCTCTTCCCTTTCTTACTTCCACAAGTGTGAATAATTCAGATGTGCTGTTCTGAAGCAACTGTTTCCTTTTTATTAAGGAGCACATTTTCTCACTGTTTCCATTTTAACTCATCATCACCAATCCCCAAACACACTTGCGCCAGAAAAAAAGGCAAGTTGGAATTTTGGGGAGAAAACACTCAAGCAAATTAATCTCCTTTATTATAATCCTAACTAGACGGTAAAGACTAGATAAAATTGGCCAGGCACAATGGCTCACACCTGTAATACTAGCACTTTGGGAGGTCAAAGCAGGTGAGATCAGGAGTTTGAGAGCAGCCTGGCCAACACAGTGAAACCCCATCTCTACTAAAAATACAAAAAGTTAGTCAAGCATGGTGACAGGTGCCTGTAATCCCAGATACTTGGGAGGGTGAGGCAGGAGAACTGCTTGAACCCGGGAGGCGGAGGTAGCAGGGAGGCGAGATCACTCCATTGCAG